AAATAACGTGTACAAATACCACATTTTTTGCAACTATAAAAGTGCTTCAATAATTAATTTATTATATTGGTCATTAATATTATCTATTAGATACCAAATCGTATAATATTCCTATCGAATAACCTTTCTAAGCCACCCACAATCAAATATTGCAATAAAACAAATGTCGCTTTCAAAACGCTAATGGTTGAACATCACTAAATGCAAGCAAGTGGGGCCGGTGTATAGGGCTGCCATGATTCTTAATCTTAGGTAGGTACTAAATCAAAACATTTCCATTTTGATTAACCTGTTCTTTGTATAAATATATAAACAAGATTAATATAGTGATTATAGTACAATATAAAAATTAAGTAAAATGAAAATATTATTTAATTAATGAATATTTTATTGATAACCCTAATAATAGCTGATGCAAGTAAAGGTAGATAGATACTATGAAAAATCACGACATCTAAGTTAATAAGTTCTAAAGAACTCCCGTTTAACAGGAAGAATTAATCACATTTAACTGAGTCATTCATTGTATGTTAATTATTGTCATAACCTTTTAATATTATTTATTGTTTATTATAGCTTTATAAGTATTATATACCTTTTGGACTTTTTCCATTGTAGGTGTGCCTAGAAATAATTGTCTTCTTAGATTTCTTCATATTAATGAGTGTTGAGTGTCTAATTTTTCTCCTCACCACAATGAGACAATCATCATATGGACCAGATAAAGTTTAAGCTCATGCTAAAATCTATATTAGATAACGCGCTAATCTCGGGAACTACAAAACCGATTTGAAAAATTCTTTTTGCATTAGATAGCCCGTTTATTGAGGCCTTCCTCAATATATCCTTATATAGGCTTTATATCGGCTTTATATCATTATGCTACTACTTAAGGGAGCTGAGTAGTAATCATAAATGTCAATAAATCTGGCAGGCTTCCATACATTATTGTAAAACTGATGCTTATAGTCAAACAAAAACGCGGGTGAAACCGCGGGGAACAGCTAGTTAAAAATATAATCGTTAAAATAACTAATATTAATATGCCAAAGATTTATTTATACTAGAAGAGGTGAGAACAACAATAATCTATTCATAACCTTTAGGTTAACTATAAAGTATAAATCTGATATTTCAAATTTTTTATCTTATTAGGTAAGTACCTAAGTGAAAAATTTGGATGTATTCCTTAGGCTTTTTACAAACTTACTTGTCACATGACTTATTTTTTTTTTGAAAACTATAGAATTATTTTTACTTAGAAATATACTAAAAAGATATAAGATTTAACACAATTACTGGTTCAATTTAAAAAAATATTGATGAACTAAAATACTTCAATCATTGATAAAATCACAGTTAAAATTATATAGTTAAAGTTTATACCATTCTAGAAATACTGTTATTCAGATTGACAGCTGGTCGTTGTTGGTTAAATGAAATAGACAAGTGTCCCTGCATCCGGTGACCACACGCGTGGGGACGGATGGGACATCGGTTTATCGGGAACTAGCGTAATTCGGTTGAACGGTTTAATCGTTGTTTCCAATACTCTTACTCAGAACATTGTCACTAAGTATACAGGTTGGTATAAAATATAAATAGTTCATTAATTATTTATGCCTTATGTATTTATATTTTATAGAATAAATTAAAATAAATTACAATAATATAGTATAAATGTTATATTTAAGCAGAATAAATTAATTATTAAATTATATCATGATAGTTTTATTTTTTTATTTAATTTACGATTAAGAATTACTTTAGTTTATATAGCACTAGCGACTCACCCTCGCTCCGCTCGGGTTCGTCCCTACTTACGTTTTAACTTTTAGTATAGATTTCTTAGAGATGAGATAGATATTTACCCGCAGTAAAAAGTATTTTATATGTTGAACCGGATAACCAGCTATTATCATACCAAATTTCTTCAAAATCCCTCTAGTGGTTTTCCGTGAGGCGGTCACAGACAGACGGATTTTTTTTTAATAAAACGGCCTCTGTATCGATAATAATGTCTATTTCAATAATAATAATAATCTTTATTTCAGACGTAAGTACATCCATATATTGTTAATTGGTTAGTAACAATTATACTTAATACTATGTTAGTATTGTTAGTATTTTTTGCATACAATATTACTTATTTATTCTTTATTTATCTTAGCCCAATGGCCAACTCCATCCAGTGTTTCTGAAAGGGGCAGTCCATTCTGGCCGAAATACACTTTAAAATACTGTTGTTGCTATCGCGTAGACGCTGCATCAAAGAAATAGCTTTCTTGCGCATAATGGCATGAAACCCATCTGTGTGTGCCTCTGCGAACATCTTTGAAGCACTACAACGCCACGACAGCCCCAACAGCATTCTAAAGGCATTATTATATTGCACACGCAAGGCGTTGTAGGCCCGGCGCGAATATGCCACCCACAAACTACAGGTATAAAAGGACTGACAGAACGCTTTAAATAGTGTTATTTTGACGTCCTTCGTACACCGAGCAAATCTGCGGACGACCATATTGCTCCTAACCGCCAACGCCCTGCGTTCCCTCTCAATGTCATCATCATCCCGTAGATCGCTAGTAATGATGTGACCAAGATACTTAAATTTCTCGACAACGCTCAGCGATACACCATTTAGACTCACGAGCGGGACATGGCGTGGTTTTAATTTTTGACACTTAAACACAAGTATTTCACTCTTTTTTGAGTTGTATGCTAAACCATGCACCTTCGCGTAAGTCTCACAGGTAGCTATCAGTTTTCTTAAGCCGGCTATGGAAGGACTGAGCAAGACCATGTCGTCTGCGTAGCTTAGATTATTGACACAGGTGTCGTCAATGTGACAGCCAACATGTGTGTTACTCAATTCCTCCACGAGTTGGTCAATGTACAGGTTGAAAAGCAAGGGTGAACTCAAACCTCCTGTCTCACTCCGCACTCCAATCTGTATTCATCCGACAGTGCACCGACCCATCTTACTTGATTTCTCTGGTTAGCATACCAGTATTTCAAAAGGGACGTATACTCCGCCGGTATACCTGCGTCCTTTAACTTGCTCCAAAGTACATCATATGAAACAAGATCAAATGCCTTAGATAAATCCAGGAAACACGCATATACCGGCGTACGCCTTGCAGTATAGTACTTGACAGTATGCTTCAGACTAAGAATAGCGCTTTCTGTCGACAGACCTGATCTAAAGCCGAATTGGGCATCTTGCAAAGAAACGTGCTTATATAGCCTGCCATTTATCACACTGTCAAGTATTTTAGCTGCGGTGGTAGCAAGCGAGATGGGGCGATAATTGCTCATATCGGACGTGTCACCCGTCTTGTTCTTAACAATTGGTACTACAATAGTCCGCATAAGCGGCTCCGGTAAATATGAATGATTTAGACACAGATTGAAAAACAGTGCGAGAACTCGAGGCAGATGAACTCCCGCATACTTAAAGTGTTCAATGCTGAGATTATCGTGACCAGGTGATTTTCCACGAACCATTTCTTTAATTATTTGTGCCACCATTTTTTCCGTAATCTTTTCACTCCCGCTCGCCGTGATAGTCTCAGCATCGTTCACCTTATTCAACGTGGAACCCAGAGGTGATCGCATAGTGAAGCGCGACCTAAATGCATCAGCAATTTCTTTATGGTCGGAAAGACCATCTACACTCACGGGTAAACTCGGCCTAGTTTTCATTTTATTAGTGCTCTTCCAGAAACTCTTAAAGTCTTTGGATAAGTGATCTGACGCGAGAATCTCCATTTGAAGTTGTTCCTGTCGGTTTTGACACCATTTTAATTTTGCCTTAAAATGTCTCCTAGACTCTACCATTTCATTGAAAACGTGACCACTAGTCGGTTGCCCCGCTAACATCCACATTTGAAATTTAAGCCGCGCCTCACAATGCGGTCCCGCGACGTGCCTATTCCATCCCGTAACATAGCCTCCCCTTTTTTTACATTTACCACTGTACGTGCGCCTAGCGGCCGCTGATAGTGTGTTAATAATATTGCTATACATTTTATCTAAGATAGCGTGATGTTCTGTTTTTTTACACAAATTATCGCAACATTCACTAAGTTCTTGTGGATTTATCATTGACAGATTAGAGTTACACAGGTCATGATATTGGTTTATCTGTTTAAAATTCCTCTCACCCCATATAACACAATTTAAAGAGCTCATTTTCGGCTGTACAATTTTCGGTTTTAAACTATTTATACTACATTCTAATACAATTGGATAATGGTCAGACCAATACATGTCATATTGTACTGATACGCTAATAACCGTTTGTAAAGCTGATTTAGTGACGATGCAGTGATCTAACCATCGTTTACACCCATGAACTTCACTACAAAAAGTAAATGTATTTCTACTACACATGTTTAAATCCACACATATCCAATTTTGATCAACACAAAAATCTAACATTTCATTGTAAAATAGCTCATTGGGATGAGCATTAAAGTCCCCTAATATATAGAAAGCTTCAATTCCATTACTTTCTTGTATTTCTATGACCGACCTGATTGTACTTAGACAATTACTAAATTCTAGTAGATTGTCATAAGAGTTAGTAGGCATATATACACTAAAAATAATTACCGATCTATTACTTACAGTTATTTTGATGGCACAAATACGCACGTTGTCACATTCTACCACTGACACTGTTTCAAACACACTTTTGCGCCACAATAACGCTACACCACCATACGGCCTTCCACTGATTAGGCCCACCGAAGTATCCACAGCAGAGGTACCAGTCCATCCAAAGCTGTCGCTTATCGTACTCAGTACTGGTAGGTCATGAGGCATCAACCATGTTTCCTGCAGGGCTACGATATCCGCAGATGTACACAGTTCTTTTACACCCTCTAATGACCTCTTGAGTGATTTACAGTTAAAACTAATAATTTTATTTATATTATTCATATTCAATTTAATTAATTATTATATATTATGATATTTTATTTTTATTATTATCTCTTATTTTCTACTGTTTTTACAACTTCCATATTTTTCCGTTTTTCGTGAAAATTCACGAAACGCCTAAAGGTTATGCCAATGGGCCACAGTTTATCGTCTAAGAAAGTATCCATTTTATGCTTTGTTACATAAACTTTATAGGCATTATAATCCTTCTGCCTTTTCATGTTAATTCTCTCTAATGAAACTTTTTCCTTTGTTTTTCCATATACATAATTAATAATATCTTGCTCTGAGACCTCTCTGTCCACATTAGATATAAATAGCGGCACCTTTATATCTGCCGCTTTGAATTTTTGGTTATTTTCTTCTGATGCATTGGCACATCCCTTTTGGCTTATGAGACGGTTTCTAAGTCTCCGTTTTTGAATACAATAAGATTTTATAAAAAATATTTAATGTACAAATTTTAATTTATTTTGTTTCAGAAATCAGCGTTTTTTTATTTATAAGTAATTATTATCCCGCTGCCATAACAATAAATAAACTATCAAAATGCAAAAAGTAAATAAAAAAATTTTTTACTACTAATTTTAGCAATAAGAACGCTCTTTATTTTTTTTACATTATGCATACATATATTTAAGTTTATTTTTCAACACTCTGTATAAGAGAGTCGGAAGTTCGTAAATTACGAGAACTCTACGAGTTCACTTGACACAGGTTTCAATTAAATAGTAGCATGATTTAAAGTACTTTGTTGCAATGTCATGAAGCTTACTCTCGATTACAAAAATATTTTGGTGTATTTAGTCGTTTACTTCTAGGACCACATACAATTTTCTCTTATTAAATGTTTAAAAACATGGGTTTATTTGATTGCGGAAGTCTCTATCCCTCACTTACATTATTATATGGTTGACATAAAAAATCCCTACGGGAGTCGAATTGCCGATCTCTTAGATTTATTTTTAGAATATATCTGTACCAAAACAACTACGCTAGTAAAACCGACTGAACTAAAAGGTTGAAATTTTGATAGCCTATTCTAATAATGGCATAAATAACTATGTACTAATAATAAAAATTGCATGTAAAATCGTATTATTCTTGCTCAGATAACTTGAAATTTGGCTTTTTTCACTATGCTGAGTATTGAAACATAGATAGATATAAACGTAGTTTCAAAATTAAACGATATTTACAAATGTTTGAAGGAGTAGTAATATTTTGGAAACTATCAAATAGAAAAAGTTAGCCGAAAGAAAGTAGAACAAGTATCTTACCTTTAATGATCTTGAGGTAAATTAAAACTTCCAAATCATATCTACAAACTAAGTGTACTCGTGTCAATGACCCCACGTGTTAAAGTTAAAAATGTTTCTATTATTAGCCAGCTCTTGTTCTGGTTTCTGTCGTGGCCGCAGTAAAAATTAAAGTAAACAAATATGCTCTCACGCCCGGGTGGGCCTGCAACCATAATAATTTAAAATGTCTTCAACTAAAACGGCAAGCCATAGAAAATATGGTTCATACAAATCGGTAGGATTATCATGTATTGTTCAACAACTGAAATTTGTCATTTGGTCTCTTGTTTGCGGGAGTAAAATATATCAGCTGGGACGGACTCTTAGCTTGGTATAAACATTCTTAATCATGTTTTGTGTTGAAACATTTACTATTAATTTACTTTAACTAAATATAAATATTTAAAATAGAAATATGTACAAATGCTTAGAATATCTCACTTTTCCTATGTCTTGTTTGGGAATTAATAATAATTAAATATGACATACAGAAGATAAGCATATATTGGCAATTTTTCAGACATTAATCAAAAGGATACAAAATAAGTAGGAAAATTATGTAGATTTACTAATATTATAACTAAATGAGAGGTTTCATTAAGATAAAATCACGCTGTACTGGGTTGCCAGATTTAAGTGAATTTTGTGATAGAAATAGGTATTTCATATCCTAGATGTATTCGTATGCGAGAATCGAACTCGAAATTGAACCTACGATCTGCGGCTTCCAGGATAGGGCCAATTCGAAAATTAACCGAGTTTTGAGAAACCTAGGTGTTAGGCATCCGAGTTTAAAAACGGAAGTGTTAGCGCAACTATGTACCTAACAATTAATTCAGGCAGAATGAGCCGTTCACACGCTATGACCACAAGGAAAGTGTATTACGACACTTGGCCTATGTAACTGGTTTGATTAATTTGATTAATTGTGCCATTAGCACAGCAAAAAATATGGCTTATATTATTTGTTACGGGATTTGGAGTTTAACTACCTATCACGATATCTTAGAAACGTAAGAAACGTTACTAAGTATTTACTTAATATTTAATCAATTGCTCTAAATACTCGTAACTAGAGTTAAAATATAGCAAAATTTGTTTTCTCTTACTTGTTTTAATTACACAATTTATAAGCTTGTACCAAGATCAAAAAAGCTCGTATCACTTTAAAGATAAAAAATATAATATGTCTATCCATAACTCCAATGCGCGATAAAAGTACAAAATCCACAATAGTATTTACAATTGAAAAAAAGAGTTCATCATTTAAAAAAAAAAAACATTCTCATTTACTAAATAAAGAACGCGATTTAAAATATTACCCTAACAAATTTTACATCTCATTAAACCAATTTACTAGAGGATAAAAGAAGAAAAATATCACTGTAGATAATCATGACGACATTTACAACACGTGGAATCGTGTTGAACATACGATTACTCAGTTCAAAAGAGACTAAAAGCCACTAATTGACTCCCGTTTCGGAGACAAACAAGAGACAAAACAGATGACAGAACAAAAAAAACTGTAGCACGCTTTTATTTACGGATGCACCAGATTTTATTGCATTGATGATTTTTTGTTAAAGTATAAGTTAAATATTCGACGATTCTTATATTTATTTTCTTAAATTTTTTTTGATAACGTTATTTCTGAATGTATTGCTGTATGTATTTATATTTTTGCAAATGGTATTTATTATTATTTTTTAATTTGACGTATTAATGTAAATATTTTGTTAAAAATCATTTTTTGTTAAAGTATTAAGTTATATATTCGACGATTCGTATATTTATTTTCTTGTTATTCTTTTTGATAACGTTATTTCTGGATGTATTGTTGTATGTATTTATATTTTTGCAAATTGCATTTCTAATTTTTTTTCAGTTTGACGTATTAATGTAAATATTTTGTTAAAAATCATTTTTTGTTATAGTATAAGTTAAATATTTGACGATTTTTATATTTATTTTCTTAATTTTTTTAATAACGTTATTTCTGGATGTATTTTTGTATCTACATATTTACATTTTTGCAAATTACATTTCTTTTTTTTTAAGTTTGACATATTAATGTATTTTATTGTAAATCATCTATACTTTAACAGTAATAACTTTAGGAATCATAAAATGAAACGTCGAAAAATATATTGAGAAAAGTGATGTATCTGACGAGACGACTCATTGTTCCAGACTTGTCATTAAACCGAAATAGCCGGGAACGGTGCATGGCCCGAGATCTTTTTACGGCGACATATGCTAACGCTGTCACCGCCTGTATTGTAGGTGTGATTGTTAAGATCTTTTACACTGCCCGGGAGTAATTGTTGGGATTTAATTCTTTTTGAATTTTTGGGGTGATTTTTCTTGATGTACAATAAAGTGTAATTGAATTGAATTGAGATTTACGTTTCTTTACATCAAAATTAGTTTGTAACTACTCAGTTATTGATAATAATATGATATCTTCTTTTTAGTGATTATCAATCCATGATCTATAACAAAAAATATACTTAGGTGCCTACAAAATTTTAGCTTCTTAGGTCCAGCAGTTTGGTCTGGACTCTAGGTATTGATAATATAGCAAGTTAGTCAGAAAATCTATTAAATAGAAGAAAAATAGTAAATATTTCCTTGGATTAATAAAATATATCTAAAATCCCCTTAAGCCTCCCCAACAGTTCCGTTGTCACGGTGCCAACTATCTCGATCTGTCACTCGGCTTATTTGTTTACTAATTGCCTGATACCGAGTCAGTATTAATGGATATTGTCAATGAAATCACTCCTTTCAATTTGAACGCCTCGTTTGATGTGGTTTATTTCTTGTTTACATTTGGAAAGACAAATTAGTTTTTAATGGGAATATGCGATCGTATTATTACAAAATTAGTAGCTTAGCACTTATGAGTTGGGTGACGTCAATCATGGGAACAGGAAGTTTGAAAACGTTAAAGCCGAACTGTTATCAAAAGTTTGATGAATTGGAGGAAATCTATAATCGTAATACGTTTGTCGGATGTGTGAGAGTCAGTGATCTATATTAATGGATTACACATTTTAATAGCTATTTCAATGCATACAGATGGTATTTTTAAATTGAAATAATTTAAAATAAGATGTAATAGATAGATTTTATGACGTTTAGCGGTCATTACATGGGTGTTAAGATTTTATTTAAACGTATATACCTCTTTGTATAATTGTATATATACGATACTGTTGAACAAGAGTGTATACGGGAAATACATTAAAAGTATCAGTAAAGTTTGATTACTGTCTTGTTCCTTACTCAAGTTACTTCTAGGAAAAGTTTATGTGATCTATATTTGAAGTCATCACTTAGTAGAACAACTCGTCAACATCAAGTGACATCTGTGTTCATTGCGCCCGCGCAGTCTTAAACAAACCTGCCCTCGATCCCTTTCTTAGAAACTTTTGAACTGTTTCAAATTTTTGTACCTCAGTTTTAATTTTTATCGAATGTTCTCAATACATGCCCTAATGTGTGTTAAATGAGTTGAAATTAAATATGTTGTAAATAATTTACATGGTGTTTTATATAGGAGGGTGATGGGATTTATTAACTTTTAGTTTTATCTATCTGACAAATTAAATGTAATGTAAACAATATGCGATTAATTGGCTAAATAACATGTGAAACGACGAAACCCAATACCTCAAACTAGAAACGTAGTATTTGTTTGCAGAGCACAGTTCCCGAGATATAATTAGAGGTGCAAGTGTTAAGCATCCTTCCTCGATACGCATCGACGGCTGTTTGTACGAGCGGTGGCGTCCGACGACATTGCCGGCGCCGACTGCGCGATCTACGCCCACAATATTTGACATGGCTATTCACAAATACCGTATTCTAATACCAATCTTAAAACAATACGAGAAAGCATGGATTCTTGAAAGCATATACACGACTTACGATAGTGGCACGTTTGAGACTCAAAGACACGTTCAGGAAATAAGACTTTGTTTACGTTATTCCAGAAGACAAACTCCTTTGTTCCATTTGTCCGTCCGTCACAGATGGACTGGTTCAAATGGTCCGGCGTCGCCTCTGTCGCCTACGCTACATATTGTTTGTAGTAAACGTTGACATGAGGAAATTCTTCAGCGGAAGATCCCGCATATAGGGCGGGCGGAACATAAATCCCGGGTGAGTGACAAGTAAAATTTTATTGCACTATAAATTAGATGTATAACTGACAAAAATAGTGACGGACGCCATTGGCGCTGATACCTAGTTGTAAAGTGTGAGCTGTCGCATACGTCTCTTTCTTTATATATATATATATATATATATATATATATATATATATATATATATATATATTTTTATTACCTACAACATGTAAAAACAAATTCAATGAAAATTAATATTCTGTCATAGAATCGTTTTGAATAGTCAGGGGGCTTGGATAAGATAATATCAATATCATTCTGCAATCGTTGAACAATAGAAATCTAAAAATATCTATGGTATCACACATTATGATTTCATGACAACGTTTAAGTTTCAATACATTTTTTTTTTAATTTTTCAACGATCGTATAATAATATCTTCTCTTACTCCCTGTAATTTTTTTTTAATAATAATAAAGATCTTTATTGGACACCTTTAAATGATTACAATTTATAAAATTATTCGTAGTTGTAGTCATTAACACTAATTAACACTAAATTTCATTTATTATTTTGAAATATAGTTTTATACTGTTAGACAAAAGTATTAAGTATATAAGGTATTAGAATCATTGTCATCGATTACACTTGAAGAACTCACGATGGCGCACAAAATGCTTTTCTTAACATAAAAGTATGTTATAGTCACTACATACTAAAACATATTCAAACATTTTAATAATTACTGCAACATGCTTTGATTCCTAACAAGTGTTAGCCTATTTATTAAGACTCGGCTTCACTTGCGTGATAAAGGTAGTCTGGGATCAAGGGTCAATCAATGTCCTTGATAAATTTTATCGAAATATGTTCAGCGCTTTAAGCATGGAAAGGTAACAGACATACTTTCAAATTTATAATATTAATATTGATTTTAATATAAATTAAATATCAATATACAGAGTGGAGTGTGTGAGTGTGTGGGTGAGTTAGTGGCAGTGGTAGCCCAGTGGTAACGCGCTCGCTTGGGAAACCGAGTGAAGCGGGTTCAAATACTGGGTCTCGCACCTCTGATATTTTCATGTGCGAATCATTTCTAACATGATTACCACATGCCTTACGGTGAAGGAAAACATCGTGAGTAAACCTGCATGTCTGAGAGAACCTAGCAAGTTTTCAAAAAAAGACATGTGAAGTCCGCCAACCCGCACTTGGCCAGCGTGGTGGACTATAGCCTGTTCCCCCTCGTACTGAAGGGAGGCCCGTACCCAGCAGTGGGACGTTAAAAAGGGTTGAATACATACAGAATGGACGGAAGATCGAAAGTAAACATTAAGAATTATTGAGCTAGTTTAATCTAGCTTGGAAAAGCCTAGCACGAAAACTTAAAATTAATTTTAATCCTAATAGTAGGTATTTTTTTATATATGGTTTTAAGTTACTCTGATGATCGAAATGAGAGAAAATTACTACATATGATGCACACTTCTGAACTTATTTTTTTTTATTTTATTTTTTTCTATTCTCCTAAAATTTTTGATCATTTTAATTTACCTTGCACTTGGCCTTAGGTAGATATGTCTCTAAAAATCTATTTATTCCACTATTATTTATTTATTTTGTTTCAATCAAGATTTATATCTTTAATTTATTATTTCTTTTATTTATTTATATTAATTGTAAATAAAATTTTAAAATTTAGGTACGTCTAAATTAAAATACAATAAATAATGTTGTACAAAATAAAAGATGCATTTGGAAAATTTAATCCAATGACATGTAATAGAGTCATTTAAACGCCAGCTTAATTTATATAAAGTTTATGTTCTTTTTATACACGACAATATTCGTATCGGATGATGAGAGTTCTAATTCCGTGTCATCGTAAATCTGAATACTTTTATACCCTCGCAGCATATCTGTCGCATAAAAACTGTAATATACTTCATCTGTTTTTATTTCTATTTAAAAAACTGTGGGCAGACGGTAGCGAAAGTACTAACTACTGAGCCCTCGAATTATTACTATGCTTTATGATATATTTATTTTTGCTCAGCGCCGCTGTGACAAAGCTCGTTTAAATTTTATTACGCTCGTTAACGTTTTTGTCAAAGCGAAACGTTTTTTTAACGTCCAACACCTATTTAACTCGACATAGTTTATATTAAAAATGATACTTTTCGTGTCGAATAATGTCATAACAGCCATTAAAACTATGTATCATGGACCAAATGTAACACGTGTGTCAAAAAAAAGTGTGAAAAAACATTATTTGTGCCGATCGTAAAATTTAGTCTTGTACTAAAGTCACAAATAATATGCACAGACATAACTTTGCCGTTGAAAAATATATGTGATAAACGAATATGCGCCTTCTCACTTTCCAATTAGTAGTTCTAAAATTATATATAGAACTGCAAATATACATTTGTATTGCTGGTCTGGTATTTATTAAAAGATTGATAGGCTGTCGTCAGATGTCTCTGTGAGGTCGTAATGTATACAGAATGACGGACGGACGGACTGAAATATCTCAGAAGATACTGTTTGTTGACGCAGTGATTCCGAACAACCGGGACATTATACATATGACAAATTTAGATTTTCGTCCAGATCTTATGCCAAGAGCTCATTTTTCATCGGTTCTCTAATAGCTTTTATTGCGGTTTTTTATTTACGTTCGATTTTCCCGTATAAATTATTAGGTGTTTAAGATTATTATAATGGTTTATGCTAAGTGGCTGTAATAATTTAATATTCGAGTGAATTAGAATTTTATTTATGTTTTTATCGTTTTTTGCCTCTTATCGGTATTAAAATGTGTATATTAAAGATAAGAAATCAAGTCAAGTCAATTGTCATTCTTCCTTATATCTAATATATATGCAAATGTTACACAAAAATATTTTTATATTCAAAAACTTTCATAACTTAAAAACTGTCCTATCACAGTGAGGTACCTACTCGTATATGATTGATTGGCATTAAATACATAGAAGGTCGAGGATTCGATTTTGTGTATTCGATATTCATATTATTCATACAATGATGTGGACCTTATTCATATATAGTCGCTCTAGCCCACTTTAATCTAACACTCAGTACCCCGATATTGGCAGAACAAAGAACAGATCAGAACAGAAAACAAACTTAAAAAATTTACACTTCACTTTTAATTTGGCCACAATTTAATTTGGACACATACAATATACAAATAAAATAGGCATTACATAGATCTTTTAAAATATCTTATATCTTAAATAAAACTATCTTATGGAGACATGTTTGCTGTAAAGCATTCGAAACGTTGGAAACCAATAATCTAAATAAAACCACGAAAAGATCCGAAAAGATAATTTTATCGAAAATGTCAAGTATTCACGTAAAAAGAAAATAAATCTAATATCGACCATGAATTTTCGAGCGTGTCCAAAAATAACCGAAATAAGGCCAATTCCAGCGAGTGTACGTTATTACCGAAAACCGCTCATAGCTTGTTATAGACATTTTAACGATATGGCAATTGAAGTTGGGTGGTCTACTCGTAAAGTTTATCGTTGGGTCGAGTCGAGCCAGCCATGCGTAGTGTACATCTAGCTTTATGACTGTAGAATTTATTAAAATTATAATTCAATATGTAATTAGTAGGTGATGTGGTCAATAAAGACGCATGCTGACGCAACCAAAAGACGTGACGCCTCTTTCGTTTGTTAACGGATTTCGTTTGTTTTTAGTTTAATTTTTTTTATTTTTTATTTTTAATAAAAATAACAATTTAAAAGTTTGTTTTACATGACGATACACAACAATATCAATTATATACATTATAATAGATAATAAAATTTAATATTTAAAACATTGTCTACTTTCATAATTCCTTCTACATTACATACTAGCGTTTTCCTGCGTCTCCGTTCGCATTTTATTAAGCACCAACATATCATATACTAAAATCTTCTCCGAAACACGCTGTATCTTATGGTATGAGTATTATTCCGGTTGGGTTAGTAGTTATCGCAGTTTATCCGAACAAAAAAATCGGCTCTCCATTTACGAGTATTATTATAGATGGTATAAATATATATTATGTTATTAATCAATGCGAGTCAAGAAAACCGGACAAGTGCGAGTCTAACTCGGACTTCCGTAGCTTAAAGCATTAAAGTTTTCTTTAAATCATAGTAAAATAAAATATTTACGCATTTACGATATTCATTTTATTGATAGCATAAATAAATTTGTACCTCATAGTTCGAATGCGTGTAATGGATATATATATATATATATATATATATATATATATATATATATATATATATATATATATATATAAATTAATTATCGTTCGCAGCACTAAGGATATAGTATGTTAACATTTTTACTAAAAAGTTTCACCGACTTCAAAACAACTTCTCTTTTTTAGAAGACGGTAAAATAACTTATATTCGTTAATATACATATAGTTATTGTACTTTTCTATTGGTGGTAAAATATGTACTTAAAATCAGCGCTTTCGGTCCAATAATAGACATCATCATGCCGTTATATAATAAACTAAAATTAAGTTCAGTTCAAAGCAAAATTATAATTCAATTAATTAGAATAATCATATTTATAATAATATTATTTCACAGAGAAACAAGCAACAAAATACCAACAGAATAAAAAATATAATTACACATATAAGCCTTTCACTAGTACATACGTCAATCTT